TTGTTTTTGCTGCTTCATAACTTCAGTAAATATGTGTTTTCCGGTGGTCTTGGGTGACCCCTGTAAAACGGTGGACCCCCAAAGGGGTAGAGACCCTCAGGATGAAAATCGCTGAATTAGATAATTACTGATACATAGATGAATAAGCGAATTCATTCTTATCTTGAAGAAAAAAAAAAAAACCTGGATAGATCAGTGGAACGGGACAATGACTAGTTGACAGGTTCAGGCAACATCCTTCTTGTGTGCAGAACCGTGCCCTTGAACTAGACCCTGCTCATTTCCGTTCTCAGGGTCACCAAGGTGTCTTCGACACTCCAGCGATACAGTCCTTAAGTCTCTTGAGAACTACCCTGTCTGTCTAATAGGATCTAACTCGCCCAAGGGACTTAACGTCCAACACAGCTTTATCTAACAATTTTTCAAGTTTTGCCAGGCACAATATTTGTCTGGTCAGTTTTTTTCTTGTATTCACAGGTATCTTAGAGCTTCAACTCGTCAGATTGGCATGTGGATTATTTTTTTAGAGAGGTCTCTGTGAAATAGTTTTTTTTTTTTTTTTTTTTTAAATCTTTGTAACATTGTCTATTCAAGTCGTGTGCTGATGAAGGCTTCGTAGACGCAACTTTAGTTGTCGTTTGTGATAAGGATAATGTAAAGCTCACTACTTCTACTGTTCGTTTCGTTTTGATATCTTTTCATGAAACTTTATTAGTATATGTGACTATTTCAAAAGTTGTAAGTTTTGTACAAACAGCATATAACACTGAAGGTAGTTACTGATGAAGTTTAAAGGGCAATTGTGTAAATGTCCTAAGTGCAGTAACCACAGATCATTCTTTTAACCTTGAACCTTTATCTACGATTTGGTCAATGTTTTACATCCGTCTTTACAAACCAGAAGGCTTTCAAGCTTGCTCAAGAAGCTTCAGGTCAACTTCATCACCTGGGGAAGAATTCTCTCATTAAAGGCTCCCCCCCCCCCCCTCCCCAACTTCACGGCTGTGCGGGTTGTCGAGGCAATGAGGGTGCATACTATCTAGCCGACAGTGGGATTATTATGATTAACCCGGCACTGGACAAGAGTGATGTCACTAATGCCTGCGACAATCAGTTACAAAGAAGCGAATCGTTATAGTTCTTTGAACCTCTGCCCTAAGAAACTGAAGAAAGAGTAGAAGAAGCAGAAGAAATTGTGATGTTAGGTCAGTTTTTATGAAAATCCAGTCGATTGAAACTTATGACTACAGAAAAAACAAACACGTCTGCTAGCGTTTTGCAATTGGCGGATCCCACGTCACAAAAAAATTTTATTTTTCATACCGGGATCATTATTGTTAAACTTTTTTCTATCTTTTGTGTTATGAAAGCAGAAAGATTACATGATCAATATGACATGATAATCACGTGACTATTCTGAACTTGTGGATATATGTAAGGCAACTCGACAATGTAGTTTATGCATTTCAGCAAGAGGATTCATTTTGTGCTTCCTTATATGTTGAATTAACTATGTAGTAACACTCCTGGTGAGATAGCAGCAACATATGACACGCAACAAAGTATATATATATATATATATATAGAGAGAGAGAGAGAAAGAGAGAGAGAGAGAAAGAGAGAGAGAAAGAGAGAGAGAGAAAGAGACTAGAGATAGATAGATAGAGAGAGGATATATAATAGAGAGATAGAGAAAATAGAGAGAGAATATAAAGATATATAAGAGAGAGAAAGAAAGAGAGAGAGAGAGAAAGAGAGAGAGAGAGAGAAAGAGAGAGATAGATAAAGAAAGAGACAGAGATAGAGAGAGATAGATAAAGAAAGAGACAGAGAGAGAAAGTGAGAGAGAGAGAGAGAAAGATAGAGAGAGAGAGAGAGAGAGAGAGAGAAAGATAGAGAGAGAGAGAGAAAGATAGAGATAGAGAGAGAGAGAGAGAGAGAAAAAAGAGAGAAAAAGAGAGAGAGAGAGAGAGCGTGCTTGAGAGAGAAAATATAATGAATAGATAGAATACGATGAGTTTGGAAACACGTTGTCATAGAAAAAGCGGAAAAACTTACAGGGCGTTTATTGGTACTGACATCCCCGTGTGGGCTCCAGTGTCTCATGTGGAAGACAGGAGGATGTAAACCAACTGCCTTCTCAAGAAAGGTGTTGTAAAGTTATGGTTTTGTAAAACACGGATGTGTTGCGCTGAAAGGAGCCGATATCGCAGCCTAGCTTAAACCACATTTCAAGATTCCGAACATCCTTTTAAAGGTAAACATAGAAAAAGGGAAAAGAAGAAGAAGAAGAAGAAGAAAAAGAAGAAGAAGAAGAAGAAGAAGAAGAAGAAGAAGAAGAAGAAGAAGAAGAAGAAGAAGAAGAAGAAGAAGAAGAAGAAGAAGAAGAACAAGAAAAAGAAGAAGAAGAAGAAGAAGACAAAGAAGACGAAGAAAAGTGGAGGATGAGGAGTAGAAGGAGAAGAAGAACAAGTAATGGATGCGTCAAAATAAGTTAACTGGTTCGATGGCGCTAATTTCAGGGTCAAACGAACAAAAAAATACCCGGACCTTCCTCGGATTAATCTTATTCACAGCAAGAAATTCCTACCAAGCCTTGATGCCTTCGTGAATAACAAACTCGGCCTGAAAAGATTATGTGACACAGATTATTGACGAGGCCAAGAAGATAGTTCCACAGTCACAACTGAGAGAAACTTTTGCTTACCTGGGAGCAACTGCCGGTGAAGTTCTCTAGCCATCTTCACTACGCTGGTCTATAATACGATCCATTCGATAATACTTGTCATTCCTATCTACTAAAAACTCCTCCATCTCAGCTAAATTCTTCTCCTTACTTCTGCTTCTTCTCTTCTTTCTTCTTCATTCTTCTCTCTTCTTCTTGTCTCTTCTTCCTTTCTTCTTCTCCTTCTTCTTCTTCTTCTTCCTAGGTGTTGTTAAGTATGTGTGACTGTAATATGAAGTATATGTGTGTACATAATACTTGTAGGCCACAGTACTTCATCCCTATGTATACATAAGTGCAAGTAGTATGTCCCCCTATCTGTACTCCTCATTGTATCTTCTCCTTCTATCATTCTCTTCCTCCTGTAATCATCCTCCTCCTCCTCTTGTAATGTGGGTGTAAGAATGTATTCATCCTTGTGGATCGTCTCCCTCCTCCATTTGTAGATGTCCTAAAGTACCTCCTTGTAGGTCTCTATCCCTCATCCTATGTGTGTAAAGATCAATAGGTGTGTGTATCCCCTCCTACATGTATCCTTTACATGTGAGTCATGAATGTCCTCCTTGTGGGTCCTCTTACATCCTGATTGTCCTGTGTGTCCTGCCTGTCCTAGGTGTGTATTCTATGGAATGTGTGTCCTCATATATGTCTATTATATCATCTGTCTCCCCTCTTTCTGTTTGTGTATATATGTTCTCCTATATATTTATTACTCTGCGCTCTTCTGAGTCTTCAAGTATGAGAATCTGAGAGCATAATATATATATGGTTGCTCTGTTCACTCTATTTGTTACTCCTATCCTATCATTATATTCTATAATGCTATATTCTTTCCTCCTCCTCCTCTTAATGATTCCTCCTTTAAATACACTTCATTGTACTCCGGAAAACCTTCTGCTTAGTTCCGAATGTCCTCAACGGGGGCTGCTCCTCCTCCTAATTTTCCTCCCTTCTTCCTTAAGCCTTTCCTCGTTCTTCTTCTTCGTTGTTCTTCTTCTTCTTCTTCTCCTCTTCTTCTCTTCCTCTTTCGGCTTCTCCTACTTCTTCCTCTTCTTCTTCTTCTTCTTCTTTCTTCTTCTTTTCTTCTTCTTCTTCTTCTTCTTTTCTTTTTCTTTCTTCTTCTTCTTCTTCTTCTTCTTCTTTTCTAATTCTTTCTTCTTCTTCTTCTTCTTCTTCTTTCTTCTCTTCTTCTTCTTCTCTTTCTTCTTCTTCTTCTTCTTCTTCTTCTTCTTCTTTCTTCTTCTTCTTCTTTCTTCTTCTTCTTCTATTCTTCTTCTTCTTCTTCTTCTTCTTCTTCTTCTTCTTCTTCTTCTTCTTCTTTCTTCTTCTTTCTTCTTCTTCTTTCTTCTTCTTCTTTTCTTCTTTCTTCTTCTTCTTTCTTCTTCTTCTTCTTCTTCTTCTTCTTCTTCTTCTTCCTTCTTCTTTCACTTCTTCTTCTTCTTCTTCTTCTTCTTCTTCTTCTTCTTCTTTTCTTCTTCTTTCTTCTTTTCTTCTTCTTCTTCTTCATCTTTTGTTTTATAGCCTCCTGCTTCCTTCTCATCATCCTCCTATACTTCTCCCCATCCTTCTCTTCCTTTATACTTATTAGACCGATCTTTCTTTCTAACAGTCTACTGATTTAATTATCTGCCAATGTAAATGCCTCATTTGGGCAGCAATTTTGGACACCAAGTAGATAGAGATAAAGAAATTATGATACTCACAAGCAAAGCAACAACAGACTTTGAAAGCCTTAGGAAAATATCCCTCCAAGTTATACAGCTTTAAGGCTAGACTATACATCTTTAATTGTATCATCATTTCAGTTCTAACATATACCAGCGAGAGTTTGAGAGCGGCCGCAGATAGAGAAAGAAGGTTAAATGCATCTGAAAATAAATATCTGAGAAAAATTTTGACAATAAAATGAGACGAATTCAAAAAGAGTGTGGAGATCAGAGAAAAACTTGACAAATACCTGTATGGACTGCAAAAAAAAAAAAAAAACACACACACAAAGAATGTGGAGGTATTTTAGGCTTACTCTGAGAGGAAATAAGACAAGCATTTCAAAACGGACTCTGGAATAGGATACAAAGGGTCTGAGATAAAGAGGACGTCTAAAGGAACAATAAATAAGAACATTATTACAAATGGCCAAAAACGCTGGGCTGACTTTCATGTCAGACATCGAAAAAGTTGCTTACGAAAGAACCGAGTGGAGGAATTGGATGCGTGCCCTATGTGACGTCTAACGGCACAAGAAGGATGATGATGTTGATGAAGCGCATCATTTATGCCTGCAAGCCTGTCTGTTCGTTTATCCATCAATCTGTCTATCCATCTTAAGTCCCTTAATCTATCAGTCCGTTCGTCGTCTGTCTGTCTTCCTATTTATCGTTGTATTCCAACAGGACTCCGATTCTTGAAGCCTCACGTCTCGGGTCAGCTGATTAAAAATATTATTGAAATATTTGACAATTTCCACATCAATCACTTCCGGGGTCGCGAAGGCATCGCCGTCCTGTCCGGAGAAGAAGAAGCAGCCTACTCCTGGGTGGCGGCCAATTACCTTCTGGGAAAATTTGCTCGAAACAGGTAACTATTGTTACAATGCGTTCCAAAAAGTCGAATACCTTGGACGGCCAGAGTAACTAAGAACGATTGTTTGAAAGAAGCTAATGAAAGTAGATCTCTATATACAACAATAAGAAAGAGACAAACACTGTTCTTTGGTCACGTAAAAGAGAAGAGAGACATTGGAGAACATTGTGACAACTGGAAAGATCAGCGGGAAAATGGGTAGAGGCAGATCAAGAGAGATGATGCTGGATGGGCTGAAACGTTGGCATGGAGGGATATCATCAAGAGAGCTGTTCCAGTCAACCAGGGATCGTGATGTGTGGAGATGCACGAGCGCCTAAGCCAGTTGGGCATATAAACATGATGAAAAGTCGTACTCCACTTTAGTAATGAGTTACTCATTAACCGTTCTGTGGAAATTATTGAAACCTGTCATACAGCCTATTAATAATCATGTCCTTTTAGGAAAAGAAATATAATGTAAACAAATGGCTAATTTTTACTTTGCCTAGTTTTAGTATGTGAAAAATCAGCCACTGATTTAAAGCTTACAATTAACACACTTACTGCTATAGAATGACGCGAGCTTTAAAAAACACAAACTGCAAGTATTTTAGATGTAATTTGTGGCTTCCGTCGGCTCTGTGGCTAAGTCGATGCGAACGCTTCGTAATGTCGGGGTGCCAGGTTCGATCCCCGCTGCGGGCCATACGCCTTGTGTTGGTTTCGACAGTGGTATCAGGGGGCCGACCGTCCAGTCAGAAATGGCAAACTACTGGACGTAAATTTGCCTAGAGAAACCACACAACAGCCAGGGGCTGCTGGGGTTGGTTCTGCAACGTCCTGTAAAAGATACGCAACTAACCAACGTGGCTTCCTCTAACATCGATCAGGGCATTTTTTGGGTGTAGATGCGACGTCGGATGTGGGCCAACATTTGGATGGCTGCCCGCTCTTCGTAGAGAGCCCAGACCACAACGAATTGCTATAGCAACGTCTTGGCGTCAAACATGTCTATGCAGCTCACCCCAAGGGTTCTCAGTTGGACTCACGGTTAGTCATGGAAAGGTGAGAATATTTTTGGCAGCCAGAAATTGCGTGGTCAACCTTTCAGAAGAGGTCTGGCACTGTGCTGTTGAGAAACAGACATTTCGTATCCCAAAATGGAAGAACATGGGGTCGAAGAATTTCACTGACTTTTCGTTAAACATTCAAGATTCCTTTAATGTGCACGAAATAACGCCTTCCGTTTTTCACACCGCTGCACCTCCATCTCCGCACGACAGAACTTCAACCGCACAGTGCTGGGCTAAACGTTTATTTTGCCCAGGGTAGACCCTACACTGTCTATCATGACTTGGCAACATCAAAGACAGAAAGAATCATCCTTAAACCAGACACGTATCCTAAGACTTTCAGCCTCCCGGGGACGATGATGGTTGGCCCAAAGAAGATGATTTTGTCGAAAAGTGCGATCAGACACATGACGCACTTGGGGTAAGAATGCGCAGTAAAAGAAGCTGTTGTAAACCTGTTTCTGAGGTCACACAACAGAATGCAGCTATCCCCGTTGCTGTTGTCACTCTGGGTGGTCGACCGTGATGCCTGTCTCAGCTGAGCCAATAGCTTTTAAACCGGTGCCATGGTCGACTGATGGGACTCTGATGCACGTATAGATGTCTGGCTAACTGGCTTTGACTTTCTTCAGCCTGTAGTCGTCCAAAAGCCATGTTCCTTACATTTCTTTCAGCAGAGAAGTCTGTGAATAGACCCACATTTTGCTGCTTTCTCGTGAGCGCTTCATCAGGTATGCAAATATTACAAAAACTCCTGCAATATACGCTATCATGTCAGTTTGACACTTTAAACGACATCTCAGTCTGGTATTTACAGAATCTTTCGTAATGCCGGGATGCCGGGTTTCGATCCCAGCTGCGGGCAATGCGCCTTGCGTTGGTTTTGACGTATCAAAAAAGCTGACCGTCCAGTAAGAAATGGCAAACTACTGGACGTAAATTTGCCTAGAAAAACCACACAACGTCCTGTAAAGGATACGCAACTAACCTCTATTTACAGAATCTAGTACGAAAATACACTTACAAACTAGTAAAACCGCCATCGAACAAGTAATGAAAACAGAGGTGAAAGTAGTGAAACTAATACTAAGATATGAATTATTTTAACTATTTTGAACGTCGCCTCCCGCCACCAAC